GAAACCACAGACATCTGATTGAAAATACAAATAAAAAAATTAGAAAAACTCTTTACAATCCCTTTAAACCAATCACCTTGACTACAAATTTTTTATGGCCATTGAACGAGTAATCATCATTTTATTAACTTCATTTGCTTTTAAAAAAAAAATAGTCACTGCTTGAATTGACATAAATTCTCACATGTGCAGATATTATTGTATTTATATCAAGAAATCATTGATTATATTTTTTCTTTGAGGACATTACCCTTGTCTTGAAGTTATATCAATAATATATAATACATACATAAATGCATGAATATTACAGCTTGCTTAAACAGTGATTTAATTTGCTGCTATTTTTAAAAGGATTTGTCACTTCTCGAGTTAACATAAATTCTCATGTGTTCAGAAATTACTGTAAGCTGACTGATATCATGAAATCATTGATTGTGTCTGTTGTAAGGACATTACCCTTGTCTTGAAGATTATAATATCAATAATATATCTTAGAATACTAATATTGCACTTATCATGAACTATAAATGTCTGCTACCGGTATATAAAAAAGTCACTTCTTTCTGGAATTAAAGGGATTGTAAAGAAGTTTTCTAAATATTTTATTTGCATCAGAGACACTGATAGGATCAATTTGCAGCATTCCAATTTTCAGTCAAACATCTGTGGTTCCTTAAATTCCACTAAAACTAAGTATTTGATGATGTCACTAATCGCAGAGGGCCATCAGTGATGAAGCATATTTTTACAATTAGTGACATAAAACAGTTAGTTTTAGTGGAATTGCAGGAACCACTAATGTCTGATTATAGATTGGAATAGTGCAAATGGTGGTATTAAAAACACATAAAAAAGATGCCTCCTTACAATCCCTTTAAAATAAATTCTCATGTGTTCAGAAATTACTGTAAACTGCCTGATGACAAGAAATCATTGATTATGTCTGTTGAGAGGACATTGCCCTTGTTTTAAAAGATTTTATCAATAATAGCTCTATGATTGCTAAACATTATATCAGCTTTCTTAGACTATAATTGTCAATTAATTGGCTTGTATGTGGGGCATACATTTGCCACAGCTTGCTGTGTAAGAAAAAAATGTAGTTCTAATTTCCTTATTTGTACATGGTTTGACTTTGATACATTTATGCCATTTTCATATATTAAGTAACATGTCAAATTGGCTACAGATAGTATGTTTCATATATTTTCTGTTGGTTTCTTAGTTCAACTCAAATCTGAAGTCGTAATAATTGCAGGTCTGTCCAGCATGCAAATAATAATTGAATGTTCACTACTGTACCAAGACTATTACTATATACTTATATTAAATAGTGAGTCAATAGCATTGTCTTGTCAAATTTAAATACATTATCAATAAACTTTTTATGTATGGGGTCATTCCTATTTTGTCTGATTTCTGTGATGATACTTGTAATAATTTAAATCGTATTAGTCCAAAACATCTGCCTCTATTCCAGCATCTGATAGATATTTTAACAGTTGTCAGCTAGAGTAGAGTCAGAAGAAAAAGACCCTATTAAATGGGGATTTTCCGTACCTCCAAAAATACGTTTTCTCTAACATAATATTGAACTACCTTTAAGATGAATATAAATTAGTGTTGGGCATCACCGTAAATTTCATTTTGTTAGTATCACGTGACTCTGTGACCTTTGAACTTTTGGCTGCGCACACAGTTTTAAATGGCCGTGCTAGATCAGTTTCTCAAAAAAAGAACTTTGATGGAACCGGCAGAAATCTGTCCAAATATAGATGTTATGGACTAATACGATTTAATTATTACAAGTATCATCACAGAAATCAGACAAAATAGGAATGAAGCAAATAACAGCCTTAAATGACCCCATACATAAAAAGTTTATTGATAATGTATTTAAATTTGACAAGACAATGCTATTGACTCACTATTTAATATGAACACACAGTAAAAGTCTTGGTACAGTAATGAACATTATGCCTCCCCATATTTGACGTCACTATCTAAGAAGCTACTAAGAATAATTAACACTCTGCTATACTGACATTATAAATTGCTCAGTTTAACTAAAAATGCAAGACTCACAGATGTCTAGCTGATAATTGGAATGATGCTATCAGTATCACTTAAAGAAGATTATTGTCACAACTAATCTAAGACAGTCAACAGGAATCATATATCTGAAAGTGTATGATTTCATTGAAATGCCTCATTGAATCTCTGGGTCAGTGAAAATATTTTTGACAAAATTATAAGGTCACCTATTGTTTGAGCAAAGTAAAAAGTTCTTGAATTTTTCCCATTATTTTTACGAGAATTGGAATAGCAGCTTCAAAATAGTACTGTTTGTGACTTTTTGGGGTTGAAATTTCAACAAGGCAAATGTGTTTCTTTTCCAAGTAAACTTTCAAAAGATTATATTTTTATCAACGCAAAGACATTTTAATACCATCAGTACTATTTTGAGGTTGTTATTCCAATTCTCTTGAAAAATATCAAAAACATTCAAAAACTTTTTGATTTGCTCAGGCAATAGTTTTCTGAAAACTTTGCAAAAAATCAAACTTTCTTGTGCACAGGTTTCTTGGCTTTCTTGGTTTATTTGCAAAGGCAACCTGAAGAAAAACACTTCTAAATTAAATCCATATTTTGTTTTCAGTCAGTAGAAAATTGGACAGTGAAAAATGTTATTGAGTGGATGGCAGCATTAAATTTATATAGATACATTGAAACATTTCGAGAAGCCAATATTTGTGGAGAGCAATTAAGGGAAATGGATGAAGAGAAACTTAGGGTAAGCTTTTAATTATTATTTTATGACAATATGCTGAACCAATATGTTTTTCTCACAACGTACAGTTTAAAAAATTTAGATTTTTTTTATTTAATATTCTTAGCCAACAGATTACAACTTTTATTTTTGCATGTTACATTTTTTCTAATGTTTTTTTTTTTAAAAAAATGTGTGAGTATTTTGCAATACTAGTACCATGTACATCATTGAGACCGTTAACATCATTTCTTTAAAAAAAAAATTATTTTTTTGCGTTAACTACTTAAAGGTATTAGATTTGACTTGTAGACTTAAAAAAGGACTGTCGATCTGTCCGTTCACATTTCTTCATGCTCACACTACAGGCTACAATTCTCTGTAGATTCTTTTGATCTTTTGTATGTGTGTCAATATCAATATGAAGATGTGCACTATTGAATTTGGTGATGATCCGATGATTTTCTTTAGAGATATCGCTTAAAACTCTGATATCGCGTTTGTTTTTTTTTTCTTCACTTTTTGGCTCGTGCTCACTCTATAGACTACAATTCTCTATTGATTCTTTTGATCTTTTGTATGTGTGTCAATATCATTATGAAGATGTGTACTATTGAATTTGGTGATGATCCTATGATTTTCTTCAGAGATATCGCTTAAAACTCTGATATCGCATTTTTTCACTTTTTTGGCTCATGCTCACCCTACAGACATTTTGCTCTTTATCAAGCAGCTGGTGGGCGTATTCGCTTGCGAGACTTGCTGCAAGCCTATGTTTAACTTATTTTTTTAATTTAACTACTTCAGTTAGGGTCTAATGACTTCCCTCTTGAACATTCGTCAGTTTGATTCGCAAGCTAGATGTTGATAATCACATTAAACTACATCCCTTTTAACACTATAGTTATATATGTCGCTGACTATGTTCTCAATGACATCAGGAACTCTTATTAACACCTTGACATCATTAGACTCTTTTCTTGTAACACAGAAGTTTGTAAATGCAGGGATTTGATTGGGTTGTCTGCTAGCAAATGAAGCCAATCGGAGCACTTGACTAGAAGTTAAACAGTGTTTAAAGTCTTTCTGTTTTGAATTGAAATCTCCCTGCATTTACAAACTTCCATGATACATACATTATTATGTAATCTACCGATGTTGTCCGGTTTCTTCCGCTTTTGTATGCTGTCCACCGCTCCACCAACGGTATGCTCAATTCTACCGATTTTTTGTTTTTTTCCTGACCAAATATTCAATGTCCTTTACCATAACACAACAAAATAACTATCACTATTTGTATCTTGATTGTCGTTAATTTCATAGAAGAAAAGTGCTGAATGATGTCAAGGTATTAGACACGATTCCTTATACCTTTACATTGTCATTTGTAAAGACAGACCAAGACCATTAATACTGCATGTGTGTAGAGTCCCATTAACCATGAGAAATAAGAGACTTAATATCTTCTTTATTTTCTCACTATTTCTCATTTCAACTTAAAAAGATTTACACTGTCAGGAATGTAGAATCCGGTTTGTGATGTTGGTTAAAAAATTAGGAAATGGTAATTAATGTATCACACATCCACTGTTCTAGTGGCCTCATTTTTCCCCCCATGAGGTAGATAAACTATGTTGCCTGGGTAAACTGTGCCACCAGGATGCAGCTAATTATTCGTTTCAATACCTTTTGTGTCCAAGGTGTTAATTGGCAGATAGTGAAGGTGATCAAGTATCGGTATTAGTCATGGTTGGGAGATACAAACTTTTTTTTTGTCACAGACTAGAGTCTTGTCAAGAGTTTCACTGACTACCTGCAGGCACACGTGGAGATATTTTTCGCCATTTTGTGATGTAATGTGTCATGTGACTTTATATTAAACACGTGAGTAAATATAAACAGTTAAGTACAGGCACGTGTAAAGAAAACAGACGCCAAAGAGAGAAAAATCACTGACATGACAGTTCTTTGGAGGAATATCAAACTGGTTTGATATTATAATCCTGATAGCAATGCATTAATCTTGTTGTGGAAGCGTGGGCACACAGGAGATTTTACTCAAGATTTAAGTCTGCCACTAAATTCGGCGACTAAAATCCTTTACTGATATCAAACATTATTAGAATGAATAATGAGAATGTTTTGTCAGAGTTTATCGAGATATTGATCATTATTATTGTCAAAATAAATGAATTATATAAGCTTACCTATACTGATCTTCGCCTATTTTTAGGTCTCATATTTAAATATAGGCCAGCAAGAAAATTATATTCTTATTTCTTACCTTTTCTTATTTGCCTGTGTTCCTATTTAAATATCATGAGGAAGGTGTTAATATTTTCCATGATTAAATTAATATAAAAATGCCATGGAGAACATATAATTTTTCACTCCTTTTAATTTCATTAAAAATTTCAGTATGAGTTAAAAAACATTTTTGTTGATATGATCATCTGTGTGCCGGCACTTCCATGACAAAATTATTGCATTGGTGATGGAATTTTGATATTTTTGTCAGACTAGTATAATTTTTAATTCCTGCTATTGGTGTATGTTACTATGGCTGGCAATCAAAATGTATTACGCTTATTGTCTGAGCAAAGTAAAAAGTCCTTTGAATTTTTTCTATTATTTTTATGAGAATTGGAATAGCAGCCTCTTAATAGTATTCTTAGTCTTAAAATGACTTTGCTTTGATCAAAATATAAATAGTAGCACACATTATGTCTTCAAAATTTGTTTTTACAGAGGCCCATTTGTGACTTTTTGTGGTTGAAATTTCTAAGAGAGAAATTCGTTTCTCTTGAATTTAAACTTACAAAAGAGCATATTTTTATCTACATAAAGATTATCAGTACTATTTTGAGGCTGATATTCCAATTCTCTTAAAAATATATAGAAAATATTTTAAAAACTTTTTAATTTGCTCAGACAATAATTAAAATATTTTTAGAAATTAAGTTGCTGCATGCATGCCTAAGGCACAAATTTCTGTTAATGTCTGTTTTTATTGATTGAAACATTGGCATTAAGTTATATACTATCCAGTCATACAGTAAAACATATTTATTGTGTGCAGCATTGGCTGATTTCCATAAAAAAAAGGTCATTATAAGATATGAATAAATTCTGACCTACTTTTTCTTTAGCTATCATGACCTACTGAGCTTGCCACAGTGTCAATCTATTTATAGCCATCCACCATATTGAATGTATAGATGTGGTTTAGAAGGAGCTAGCAGTTCTGATTCATTCTTTTGTCTGTTTAGAGGACTAACTCTTCTGTTCATGTGCAGTGAGAGTGTGTTTGGACTGTACTGTATTATGTAATGAGTTTTGATTAGATGGATGTGTATTATAGTGACTGTGGTTATGTACCAACACATTCTTGTCGGGTAAAACATCTTAGTATTTCATTCTCTACAGCTATACCTCTACTCATAAATTGACCTATTTTTCTTGAAATACATTTCTTGCTGATTTTTTCACCCAAAGTATAGAATTTTTTGTTCTAATTTTTTTTCTAGACCTAATTCTATTCTCATTATGGACTGACTATTGATCTAAAGGCTGTTCTTAATAGATTGAATTGTCATTAGCTATAATAAGGTTGGTAAAATAGATTGTAGTTAATACAATGTAGTACATTATAGAGATCTATAAAACCACAGTAGCAGTCTAGCTAAACTGTGCCAACAGACAGCACCTCATATCTTAATGATAATGGAATATCAGTGTTCAGATAGGATATCTGTTAACTGTTATCTGTTTGCTGTAATCAGATCTAGAATAGTACAGTTTAGTAATTTGTATCATTACCCTAATTCTGACTGATGAAGTGATATTTTCAGATAATTTTATGTCTAACCTAATTTTGGCTTTGGCTGCAAGTTACTGAAAAAAAAACTTTCTAATGGCGTCATAATATCTCTATATATCATTTTAACTGCACTGAAGAAAGTTAATGATAGTGACAAAGTGACGACAGACTTTTGACACTTATTGTAGGAGAACGTATTGTCAGAATTTGATTATGAAAAGTGTCAAATAGCTACTATCAATTTGTAAAGTTAATATTTTGATTACAATATCCCTGTAAAATCTAACAGTTGTGATTTAAATGAAGAATCTAAAGAAATAGTATGTGTTGATATTATGGATAGAACTTTTCCTATATTTTATGACAGTTGGAGCCAGCAAGTTTCTGACTAACTAAAAACTGAGATATAATATACCAATTGAATAACAAAGTATATAATCTAACTTGTGATATTTGGCCCCTCATAGATTATATGAAAGGAAATTTTTTTCAAAATGCTGATTGTGTGAAATAACTGATATTTAATTAGTTTAAAGATGGGTTCCCTTATTTTCATTAATGAAAATGCTAATACTTATATGAATAGAAATCAGGTGATAATTCATTAGAAACAGCAATTAATCAAATAGTTTGCTTAATTTGACACTAAAATGAGGAAACCAATCTTTATTGTCTAGAGTTGTGGTTTTATTTGTTAAATGCGTCTCGCCTCTTGCTTCGCAAGTCATGTGAAGACGTCCTGTTGAGCCATAATTATTAGTCATTAATGCTTGCATGATGATTAACAATAGGGATTCATTTCATATATAATGGGGGAATATGAGTGTAAAGACATTAGGTAATTTTCAGGAACAATCCTAAGACATTTTCTAAGCTTTGAAAGTACACATCAATAAATCATGTTTTCTGTAGATTTAAAATTTTTGCTTGTTTTAATTACCAAGAATGTGACATGATGGCCACAGTGTTAAAAAGTTGGTGAAAAAATTTGTTTAAACTCACACTATATGTCATTGTCAGTCTTCTTTTCCCAATTTGAAGCGACATTAAAGGGATGGTAAAGAGGTTTTGTAAATTCCTTATGTGTATTGGGTACAATGAAAGTGTCAATTTACACCTTTCAGACATCTCTGGTTCCTGCAATTCCAAAAAAAAATAAATGTTTGATGACGTCACTAATCGCAAAGTATGCTTGTATCACATAAGGCCCTTCACAATTAGTGACATCATCAAACACTTAGTTTTAGTGAAATTGCAGAAACCACAGACATCTCATTGAAAAATGAAATAGTGCATATTGATGCTATCAGTGCCCTAGAAACAAATAAAAAAATTGAGAAAACCTCTTTACCATCCCTATGACTGTATTTCAATTCAATTTCATTGGAGTTATGCTTCGACTGACCTACCAATTGACTCTAGCTAGAATTTTTAAAACGTTTGTTTTTTTAAAAAATATGATCAATGCACTTTATTTATTTTATTTATTACATTGAAAGTAGGCTAGTTTATATCATTTTTATTGTTTAAGGTGAGGTTCTGGAAAAAAATTATATTCTTTTGGCTTGAATTCAAAATCAACTTAACACAACTTTAACAGTATGCAACAGTTACTTATGATTAAAGTGGTTTAGAAGTGTGATTTTGAGTCTTTAGAAAGTTTTGGTGTATCATAAGAAAAGACTATACAATAAAATATTATTTATATCTATAAAGTATTTCTATCAAACATTTGGTATAAGTACTTGCTGATGGCATAGGGATGTTTTTCCGCAAGTAACTACATGTTTCAGGTTCGGATTTGATATGTCTTTATGGCTCTGCAATTGATGTATTGAGCATTATTTTGATATTTTAACCATAAGCTTAATCGTTATAAACATAATTTAGAACTTTTTTATCATTGCTGGGTTCCAGGTCCAGGTCCAGACTTGCACTTCAGTTCTCTATTTTTGATCCAGATTTTTTTAAATGATCTTGACAGTTTGAACTTGATTTTTGCATCTCAAAAGTACCAATATTCTCAAAAAGTCACATTTCTACCTTTTATTCAGGTCTTATTAAAATTGCCTAGTTGTATTCTATAGCATAACTGAGCAAAATCTTTACTTTGTAAATAAATGAGGATGAAATCAGTCTTAGTTTGTAGTAAATTTCTGAGATATCAAACATATCACATTAAAAGGTTCAATTATAATGTCTGATTCTATTGATTTCTGATATCAATAAATAGATTGGAGAGACTTTAACTTTAACCTTCTATTGTCTAACACAAGTGAAATAGTATAATCAGAAATTTAAGCAGACGTCCATTGTTACAATAGAATTTTATTATACAAACCCTGGAAAGATTTATTATTTGACATTATATGTAGGTCAAGTTATTTCATTTTGTTGCTAATGGGTGTCTTAAAAAGATGGTTAAAATTGATATTTTGTAATACTCAACACAAATTTCCCACTCAAAGCATATGATAGACTAGAAATCATCAATGCTGTCCAACTCATGTTTGGATTGTATCTGATACAATTCTAAGAAGAGCTAATTTTGAGAATGGGTGTTAACTTGGCAAATCAATGACATATGATGAATATTGATAAAGTCTTCAACGGCTGTTGCTTATTAAACTGTAGACAAACAGAATGACAGATTTGAATTTTCAAGAGTTTTGTAAATCAAGTATTATAAATATTTTAAATCGTTTTTTCAACAATTTTAATGTTTTGATTAAAAGATTCTGGTTCAGACATGTCCGTTTGGTATTTAGAACTTATTGCTATATAAATCTTCCTTGTGACTCTGTGTGTCTGGCATTAGGTGACCATAGAAATTGTTGACAAATTTATGTTGGTAGCATGTGCTCATAAGATTTTCATTATTTTTTCAGGAAATGGGAATAAAAGATGAATTCCATCAGAAATCTATTTTAGTCTGCATCGATGAATTGTGTGGTCAAAATACTGAAAGTGTAAGTGTCTGCATCGATTCTTGAATAAAGTGTCACCCGTAGTTTTGTTTCCCATGCTAGTTGCAATATCATGGATATAAAGGTCTTATTAGGATTAATGAATAGTGCAAAAAATGTCAACTAATCATTCTCATATATACTTTCTTTTATTTCTTCAATAATATTTTTCAAGTTGTCCTAGTAAAATACAGTGTAGTTCAGGAAATTGTGTTCTGATGTTGTTAGCATATTTTTTTTTTTTTTGTATTTCAGCAACCTTATGCTGCTAGACTTCCACCTGTAATCAGTATAGATATGGAAGGTAAGAATGGCGTCTGCTCCTCGTGAAACTCTTTTCTGAGTGAAAATACCATAGAAACAGCTCTCAGCTCTGTGGATTGTATGAAAGGTTGAGTTGACAAACTATGTGGCAGTGGAATTCAGATTCAGTGTCAAGATCTCTGAGATAAGAAGATAAAGAATGACATTTGTAGTAATCTTCTACACCTGTAGAATCGTAGGCTTGTACTTATTTGGCAGGCTTAGTGATAATAAAGCATGATAGATTCAATCCATACTAGTGAGAACACTCTGCCTCACTGTCAACTTTTTATTTTGTATTTGCCTCTGTAACGTCTTCATTAGCCCAAACTGCATCATTTCATTTTATTTGCCTCTGTAAGTGTATTAATGCAAAATCTTCTTTTTTTTTTAAGCGTCTGGTTGTTCAGAACATAGATTTGCTGAGTATAACTTCTCGTCAATGCAAAGATGTCATCTTTGTGATAAATTTTTATATGGTTTGGTACACCAAGGTCTTCAATGTCGAGGTATGTTTGCTCTTTCATCTTAATAAGCTCTCTTTCTTTAAATATCTTTATTTGTGAAATTCAGGAGAAAGTGAACACAACACACAGCCAAACCTTTTCTCTCAAGTGTCCTAACGTACCAAGGATATTTTGTTGTATTCTGCAACAAGCTTAAAGCGCGTATTTTCTGAGTAAAATTATGTTTTCCCATATAAAGATTGTATTCAAAAATCTTTTTCGGACTCTAATTATTTTGTTTGTGGGATAAATGTGACGAATATATATCGATTTATTTTTCAGAATGTGGTTTGTGCTGTCATAGATTTTGTTCTACTTCTCAACCAACAGAATGCAATGTACCTAAACTAGAACGAATACGTAGACCAAGTTTTTCACATAGTAAGTTTGTCAAGATTGCTTTCACATTTAGTTTTAGAAACTGGTAAAAGCCAGTCAGGATAACAATAATAATTTGTAATTTAGTATTTTTTAAAATATTTATTCCTTACATCTAGATTCAAGATAAGATAAAATATAGTCTAGTTTTTAATAGATCCAGTCAGAATCTGTCATGTTTCACAAATTATTATCCATTTATTATGTAAACTTTCACTTGTCAAAACTTTTAAATGTCAAATTTCTAGCGAAATGGAGTCAATTTTAACATCAAATAATTGGATTTAGATATGTCAGTAGTACTATTCTGATGGATTTTGTTGTATCATTATTTGTAGATTCAGTATTCGGTCAAGATTTACCAGATGAAGTCAACAAAAGTCAAAAAGATGCCCCAGACGTTTTACATGTTTTTGTACAAGAAATTGAACAGTGGTGTCAAGAACATAGTATGTATTAGTCATTTCTGGATTTTTAGATGTCAAACATTATTTTTGTCTCCTGTAAAGAGACAAGATTTGAAGTGGTTATATCTTAAAATTGAACCAAAACTTTGCGAAAATCTTTGACAGAAGCAAAACATGTGTTTTAAGGAACAAAATGTTAGGTAATTCATCCATAGTTCTTAATTAATAGTTCAAGGGAGGTAATTGAAGTAGTACAATTAAAGGGAGTTAACTCTGAAAATAATTTGTCTGACTGAAAAGTTTTGTCTGTTATTCATTTTTATTTGATCTTATTCTAGGTACAGAAGCTTTAAGTGTATATAGAATATCGTGTAAAGCAGAAGAAATAAACCAAGTTAAAAAAATATTTTGTCAAGGTATGTGGCCATGTTCTTCATTAGAATTTGTTGCTCTCTGTTACATAATATTTGTATTGGTTAGCATTCTAAGTATCAGAAATAATTTTTTCGCTATAAAAGTGAGCTTTCTTCTGTATTTGTGAGGTTCTATAGCACAGTCGGTTAGAGTCTTGATTCATTACATGATGTCAAGGAAAATGGCAGTCGTGGGTTCGGCTGATAGTCAGATGACTGTGAATAAGACATCTTTATTCATAATCCCAGTCAACCCAGCTCTTAATGGGTATGATAATCTGGGAAAGAAAGGTTTGGCCAAGGACCAACTGATAGACAGGATCCTTAATTGTGGACCTAAGTTATTCTCTTTGTAAAATATAGTTCCTTCTTTCTTACTTTCTTTCTATCATTAAGACTAGCAAAAGTAACTTTTTCTGGCATCTTATAGCAAATGTCACCAATATTTAGAATAGAAAATCTCTAGAACATGAAAAAGTAATTGTCCAATATATCAGCAAGCATTTATTATCGAGAAGTTCTTAAAATAATTTTCTAATTGTAATATTGATTTACTAATTGATGATTTCATTGTAGAAGGAGACACAAGCAAAGTGAACCTATCATCATTTAGCGTCCACTGTGTAGCTGGAGCTTTAAAGAAATATTTAAGAGAATTACCAAATCCAGTATTACCTGTAGAAATGTATAATATGTTTATACATACAGCCAGTAAGTCTATTCTATTAGTGCAGACAAATTCCCACCATTTTGTCAGCCATTGTATTCACACAAAAAAGTTCACCCAGTGATTGTGTTAACAAAACAAGGATATTTAAAATATAGTATATAAAAAACATATCTCTATTATTTTTCTGACATTTTTGTCTTCACTGAAATCTAACAAGTTTTTTACCACAGTCCTGTCCCAATGACGTTTATGATATGTTAAGAATCCTTAACTCTTTCCTTTTTCTAGAGAGCAAATCGTCAACGTTAAAATCATTATCAGACCTTATAGAAGAATTACCACCAGCACATAAAAGCACATTGCAGTTTCTTATGGCTCATTTTTGTCGGTTATGGAAAATCCAAAATGAATCAGGGGTATCAGACGGCCTAGATAAATTATCACATGTGTTTTGTCATATTTTACTCCGACCGCCATGGGAAAGAATCATGTAAGTTTTGTTGTTTTGTTAAATAAAATTAAAGAAAGAGTCATGTAGTGCAGAGATTCAAAGAATGCTTTATGTTCAAATTTAAGACTGGTTTGTCCCTGACTCCAGTTTGTGACATGTTTGAATGGGTATTGTCTCCGATTACTTGTTGAAAGAAGTTCATTTGGCTTACCCTTTTAAGTTGTCACCTGCAGTCTCATATATATTTTTTGTTGAATGATGGCTATTGGACTCCTGACATGTTAACCTTAAATTTTGTCTAATGGATTGCATTGTGTTTTAGTGAAATAGTTGATAATACCAAATTACACATAGATATATTTGAAGAGTTGATGAGAAATGGAAATTGGGGAGAAGATATACCACCTATACCTACATCAGTCCCTCCTACATTACCTCCTAGTAAGTTATTATTACCAAATAATCAGGCAACTGTATCCCTTTTTATTACCTTGATTCTTAATTGCTACTCACTGACTGCTATGGTTTCTGAGTTATATTCTAACAAGTTTTTTTTACTTCTTATGTGTAAGTATCAATATGTACCATTCCAATTTTCAGTCAGACCTCTTTGATCCTTACAAATCCACTTAAACCAAGTATTTTGTAATGTCATGATCACAAAGACCCTTAAATATTACTGACAGCTTTTGTTATAGTGATGTCATTAGATGCATTAGTCACATATACAGCCCTTTTCCAGACTTAATGCTATAATCTTATTGCAGGGCCAATTAGAAATACCCCAGTAATGAATTCACCATCAACAGTAGAGGAGAAATTAGAGAATTATGAATGGTATTGGGGTGATTTATCACGAGAAGATGTAAATGATAAATTAAGAGATACACCAGATGGAACATTTCTAGTTCGTAATGCTACTACACCAGGAGATTATACCTTAACTTTAAGGTAAGAGATAGTATTTTCATTTCTTATATCACTCCCTTGTATGAACCAGTTACACTTATGTTGATGTTTAGCTTTTGATACACTGTAGTTTTTCACGTGATAATTTGGAGAAACAAAAAGCAAAGCTATGACCCACTGTTATTGATGAAAAGTTTGTAGCAAATAAGAATAACTCCAGTAATGACCTCACTATGTCCTTTTAAATTCGCATTTTGGTGTTAAAAGTCAAAAGAAATAACCTAGTAGGACAACTGAAGGTTTTTTTATAGCAGAATAAATTTTGGACTGTTAAACCATTTGTTGTTTTGTGTATCCATCTTTTAAGATCAACAAAATTTAGACCAGTGAAATATATTGTGTATCTTCTATTATATTGAACATTTTGTGGATATACATGTTTTCTAGAGCAAGAGGAAAAAAAACTGTTATCTCATATTGATTAGAATTTTCTATAAACATTTATCCTGTTTTGTTGAAGGGATGTATTCATCTGAATATAAGGTTTATGAAGAGCTAAGGTTCCGCTATCTGTAGTGCTTTTCAAAATTCTAATCCTACTTACAATTTTCGACATTTAAAAATGAATTGTATGCAATAAGGTTAGACTATTTATCAACATAGTTATTAACATCCTCGCATTCAGATAATATATGGAATATTCAGGCAGTGATGTAGTTTACACTTCCAGGTAATGGATGGTTTTGATATTTTGATTCATATAAAATGTCAATATCGTGGGTGACCTTGTTTATATTTGGTCATTTTGACATTTTGGTACCGTTGGAAAGCTCGTAAAAGCGCTGATCTTAAGATCAAAACCTCTAATTCCAAGCTTGATTGTTAATAACCCCAAAACCACTAATTAAATAACACGTATATAAACAATCAGATTTAAAACCTCGTAAAATATATTATTATACGAGGTTCAATGCTCGTTTTCTGCGGATGAAAGTGAAAAACCTCGTATACTGTATTATTATACGAGTTTTTGGTTCAATAGGCCGGTGATCTCAAATTGTTATACGAGGTTAATATTTTCAAAGAATGAAAACCACGTATAGCAGTAGAAAGAAAGGTAATAAAGATTTTAACAAAATACGAGTTCCAATAGTTTTTCTCGAAAAAGTAATTTCGTGTCATATGTCGTTATACGAGGTTTCAAGCGGTCACCCTTGATATATAACTTCAGTAAAAAGTTCATATTATGAGTTAAAGATTTGAATCATTTCATAGTCTAAAAGCAAAACATTGAAAATTCTTTCACTTTATATTTTCAAGATGTTTGACATTTTACGTGTCACCTATTTGATTTGACTAACATATTTTGTCAGATTATGTATGGTTTTAAAATGTGTAGAAATTGTGAAGTGAGATGATAACTTGGCAAAGTTCCAGAATAGAAACAGCTTTATCAAGGAAATGTAATTGAAATAATGAATTAGGGAATTCCCCAAACATAAAATTTGTGAAGTTCAGGAAATTGTTGGAATGAAAAACGCGTTGCCACATTTGCCGTAATACTTATTCCACAACATAGTTTCTAGCTAGTTTTGGTGTCTTAGTTTCTTGTTAGTTTTTGTGTCATACTTTCTAGCTAGTTATGGTGTCATACTTTCTAGCTAGTTATGGTGTCATACTTTCTAGCTAGTTTTGGTGGCATACTTTCTAGCTAGTTTTGGTGTCATACTTTCTAGCTAGTTTTGGTGTCATACTTTCTAGCTAGTTTTGGTGCCATACTTTCTAGCTAGTTTTGGTGTCATACTTTCTAGCTAGTTTTGGTGTCATACTTTCTTGGATGAAGGTTTTTGTATCCCTGAAAAGATATGGAAGTGCATTTTTGTGATAATATCTTGACAAGGATTATTCTGAAGATATTTTAAAAGTGAATATGGATATAGTCAAGGTCAAAGTGTCACCTCCTATAGTTTTTAGAATTGTGCAATATTTGAAGTTTTGTTGAAGCTTGCTCTATTACTTGTACAAATTTAAGAACAAAAATAACAGAAAATTGGCTAAAGGTGAAGAAAAAGTGGATTATATATTTGATGAAATTATGGTGGCTCAGCAGAATATTGACTCAATTGTATCTCATTGATTGTTTGAAGTTGGTGTCTGACAGAAGTTTTCTAACCTGTGTGGATATGTATTGTGAACACTTCTATTCGCAATACATTCATTTCAACTTGGCAGTCTATTGTTCTTGAAATTCCATAAAACCTAAAGACTAAAAACAGGTTAATGACAATTGCTTCAGTATTATTTGTTGTGACTTCATGATGTGTCAAGTTTTTCTAGAATTACAAACTTCAGACAGAAAATAAGAAAAAAGCAAATAAAAGATGTACATGTCTTTCATACATATACAAGAGTACAAAACCTCTTAAAAATCCTGCATAAAAAAGGTTATTTTGGATTAAGGACCTAAATTGAGAAAGAAAGTTTGCAAAAACTCAGAATTGATATTTACGCATACAAAGAATTTGCTCAAAAGGTTATGTGTAAAACTGTAAGGTTATGTGTAAAACTGTAAGGTTATGTGTAAAACTGTAAGGTTATGTGTAAAATTGTAAGGTATGTGTAAAACTGTTTATGTTATGTGAAAAAATGTTAAGGTTATGTGTAAAAATGTTAGGTTATGTGTAAAACTGTAAGGATATGTGTAAAACTGTAAGGATATGTGTAAAACTGTAAGGATATGTGTAAAACTGTAAGGTCATGTGTAAAACTGTTAGGTTATGTGTAAAACTGTAAGGATATGTGTAAAACTGTAAGGATATGTGTAAAACTGTAAGGTTATGTGTAAAACTGTATCAAATTTATACTAGCTTTGTTGAATTGAATGTTATCATATGTTATCGGTATTACCTTTTACAGAAAGGGTGGAGGAAATAAGCTTATCAAGATTTATCACAAGGATGGTAGATATGGATTTGTGGAACCACTGGACTTTGACTCTGTTGTTGATTTGATATCCTACTACCAACAAAACTCTCTAGCTATTTATAATAAAACTTTAGATATTAAACTCTTATTTCCTGTTGGCAAAAATATGGGCATGGTAGGTACACAATTTTTTTTGTTATTTGAAAAGGTGTCTTACTCTACTAGATACATACATGAATAACACAACCAGGGCTGCTGATTTGACCTTAGTTGCCAAACGCTTCTGATAAAGACATCAAAATGTTGGCTGTGATTATTGACTTATGTCGAATTCTTTTCAAATGAACCAATTTTGTCATTTGTTTACTGGTTATCCGTATTTTCAATAGAATTTAGTATAAATGTAAAATAAATGTTAAATTTGAATTTGATAATGACTTCCTCTGTTAGTTATATTACTACAGTTTTCATTAGAAATGGTATAGGATATCATATCATCAAATTTGACACTTTTTCATTTATTGACCTTGGATTTTAGACTTGAATTCAGATATTGATGAAACTTGATCTAATTAAATACAGGTCACATCTTGATATAGTTCGAATTTTGAGATTTTCAAATAAAAGTCTCTTGAGTTAATGCCCTTGTTGGTCTATATCATTCTACATTCATTCATATTATGTGATATTTTGATTAATAGGATACAACGATTAATGATGATGTTAAAGAAGGTGTGGAGAAATTAAAGCGAATTAATGCAGAATATGTGGAAAAAACTGGATCTTATGATAATCTTTACGAACAACATTCCAAGACATCCCTAGAATTACAATTAAAACATCAAGCTTTTGATGCTTTTAAAGAAACTTTACTGGTGTTTGAGGAGCAAATGGACTTACATAAAAGAAATCATAAAGATGCACCCTCTTATGAAATCCAAAAGTAGGTTCATATTTTTGTCCAGATTTCTTTTAAAGGAAAGGGATATAGTTGCCCTAATGTTTCCTTCACTGTGGTTAGTTTTATTTTGGCTATCGGTATGGAAGTCTGACATAAAGTTTATCTAGAATTAGTAAAAGTAAACAAAATGACGTCCGGTGCAGAGTCATTCTTTTGCTTCATGGACAGCTCTTCATTCCTGTATTCTATTCCTTTTGCAGACTTCACGAAAATTTTGAGTTACTTAAAGCACGCTATCTAGGAATACAAGAAAGTAAGAGTGGTTTGGAAGTAGAAATTAATAGAAAATCAAATAAAAACAGATCATTAATTAGTGATATGAACAGTATGAAACCAGAAATTAAAAGGCTTTATAAACAACGAGAACAACTCAAAAAGTAAGTTCCATTTCTTACCATTATCAAGGCGTAAAAACTCGTAATCATTTACGCGTATGCCAATTAGTCTCATGTGTGCGAACAGTTGGTGTCAGATGGTGTTTATAGTTCCCATAGCCAAGCTTTGTGTGGAGATGATCATTATCAGAAATCTTGAGTAACCTTTTGTTGCCATGGTTACAGCTGATTACAAAAACTGAACCAACTTCTGTAGGTAATTTAACCTCAGTTTCTGAAGTAAAAATTATATATTGATTGCAAGGTGTCTAATTTAAGAAGATATCAAAATAAGATCTGAAGACAATTTGTTAAGAATCCATCTCACAATCTTTCCTACATTTTAACTTGAATTGTCTATGGCTATGTATAAAATTAGGTAACACTTCTCAATATCTATTGACTCTTGATATGTTTTAATTGCAGATGGTTAATAGACAAAGGCAAAGCAGCTGACTCTCTAGATAATATGTTAGAAAACAGATATGAAAGGTAAGGCTTCAAATAGTTTATTTTATATCATTCTGAATCTGCAGTTGTTACTAGCTCAATCAATAAATGCTTGGAAAGTTCTTACCAATGTATTTGGATGTTGTAAGTTAAAATTCTTGGTTATATCAAACAAATGGTGGTCGTAATTCTAATCTCAGTTAGCTTGTGTCTAGTGACGTTGAAGATGTCATATGACCCAGCTGTATATAGGTACCATTAATTCAGAAAAGGTCATTCACAAGAGTTTCGGCCAAGAATAAACATGATTCTTTCTGTATATTTTTCCCTAATGGCAGCATCAAGCAAATAAGCACTATCATATTGTCTTTGATATGTGTGTTGTAAAAATGTTCGAAACAACTGACTACGAACTTGTCAAAAATCAAAACTATATAAAATTTTATGAGCCTGTGGTTATTCTGGTTTATAATAACAACATAAGGCTTGGCAATTAACATTATTAAACTCATTTGATGAATAAGTAAAATAAGTAGCTTGTTTCAGATTCTCTAAATAAATGGTGGGTTGAAAAGGCTATGTGTTATTATTCAATAAACAAATGTGTATCTTTAGATTTTTAATTATGTTGACATGTGGTTCCTTGTTCCATATAAAGTAGTTTGACCCAGAAAAACATTATTTAATCAATTTTCCTGATTGATTTAGTATTTCCTACATTATATCCCAACTCTTTTACTACAAAAATATCAGAATTTATTAAACAAGTTTACTGATATCATTTAGCAAGCCTTCAGGCTTTTGATTTTGATAAATTCTAAACTTACATTAGGCATTAGCCTATAATCAGACAGTGAATATAGCAAATAATTTAAACGTTACTGTATAATGTTTATCATATCATAGCTTATCATAAAGCTGTGTAGATAATGGCTTCAGATTCTCTTCAGATTTTTTTTGGAATGTTCTTCAGAATGAAAGTCTGAATAACAATTTGTCTACAATTTAAAAACAAGAAATGGCTTTATCAGGCATTACTAAGCAGTTATTATATTTCTTCCAAACTAAAATTATAGTGTTTTTATTATGTAGATGCATTCATGCCAGAAGTGGGATTCTTCTTCTGAAAAATGCTACAGTTTAACATTAAACTGGGGAAGATTTAATGATTATTAAAGGTGCCCTGACACCATAGAGATTAACAGCTGTGTATGGTCAAGAATATTGAAAGTTTTTTTGAGTTCCAAACACACTTCACAACACAGTTGAATGAAAGTTGCATTTGAAACTTATAAACAGTATTCTTATACGCAACCATACACAACTGGTAAGGGCTATGGTATGAGTGCCACTTTACATTTATTGAAGGAATAGGGCACTAAATCTTACACTTTCATACGTTACAGTTCACCATCAGAATCCCACATAGAAAATTCACCACTGTTAAATGAATCGTATTGGTTAGTTAACTGTGAAAGAGAAAAGGCAGAAGAAATGTTACTGAATAGAGCTGATGGAACATTTTTAATAAGACCTAAGCCTGATTGTCATGTACTATCTATTGTGTAAGTGTTTAGTTTATGTAAATCTTTTTGATGTCCTTTATAACAAGAATGGATAAGATCCATTCATCCCCACCATTTCTGTGTTGCTCTAGTAACTCCAGGCATGAAAAGTGGCTGTGTAGCTAATTTACTTGAAAGCCCTGCTGCAGATAGTAAAAAAATTGGCTCCTCAGTCCAAAATGTCCACTGAATGTTTTTTGCTCCTCAGGGAGCCCAATTTTTGGTTTTTGGATGAATGTATGATCAAATTTACAAGTAGAAAACATACCCATGAACTATAACGGCATTATCGGGAAGATAACAAGCATGTGAAAATTTCCTTTTTTTTTTATTTTATAGGTATCATAATTCTGTGGGACACTGTAAAATATATTGTAAAGATTCTGTGTATGGTTTTGCTGATCCTTATTTTATTTTTGCAACTTTGAAAGACCTTGTGGTGCATTATCATAAAACCTCTTTAGCTGAGCATAATAATGACTTGGATGTGTCTTTAAAGGTTCCTGTTAAAGCACAATTGCCTCAGGATCCAGTATACACTCGGATGAATAACAGTCCGGTCTAGCATAAACCCTTCTGCTTTCTTGAGCAGTGTTATGCTTTCTTAAGCAGTGTGAAATATCTATTTTTAAAAGAATTTGAAAGTGTCCTTTGTCTGAGGGAGAATAAACATTGTTCTTTTATATCAAGACTTAAGTGACATCTTCCGTTATTACTGACAGAAAGTGTTTTAAAGTGGTAAGTAACAGACGCAAAATAGTCAGATGTTTGTGCTCATGTGTTTTTAGCCAGGTCAATGACCTGGTATTCAGACCGAACAATTTTAAAGCTAAAATCAATTACCAGTGCTTAATGTTGATAAATTCTGTAGTAGAGAGAGGATATATATGAATTGGTGCTGGGCATTATGAAAGATCCTGATCCAAAATTTAAAAAAAATGTTTGTTAGATTTTCAAAGAAAAAGTTGCCCAGGTGGCAAGCCTTAGATACTAGAGTCCATAGAGTTTACAAGAAAACACCATTGAGGTACTGATGAAGCTTCCCAAATAATTCTGGAAAAGAATGACCTCTATGGATCCAATAATTCATTCTTAACAGCAGTTCATAGCCTGTTCACTATATTTAATAGTTTGACTTTAATTTGGTTGAAGTGAAAGAAGGATACCGTTGGCATGGCAACAAGGGTACAAATAGTCAAAAAGGGTAGCAGCCAGGGTCCTAGGCATCACGATTTTGGATGTTTTATGGAATCTCCATAAAATTTTGATGAAAAATAATTTGTTTCATTTTTTTCTGTGAGTTACTTCATTCTTTCTAGATCTGGATAGATCAAGCGAGGCTAAAATGCTTGCTTTTAGCAATCAATTATTTCAATCATTGTCTCTCCAAAGAATTTACTTGTAAAGTAAGCCACAGAAAATGTAAATGTATTCAATTAGATAGCAAAAAACATGAAAAGAAATTCTTCAAACTGTTACAATTTTTTATTGTGGTTGACATCAGATACGAAAATATTTTTATGCTTATTCAACAAATCATGGTTTCCATTCTGTTTGGCTTACTGAAAGCATGACTCATATTTAGAGTGTTTCTTTTTTTTTGGGGGGGGGCAGAATTTAGAAAGTTTTAAGTATGAAAACTGATGTCAGCTTGGTACTTAAAAAGGCTCATGAAACTAGATGACTTGCTTGCTTCTATTAGCCCATTATTGTTTAGAAACTTTAATCATGGACCAATCAAAATTATCCAACTCAGATCATATGATATGACGTGTGTTTGTTTAAAAAAAGATGGCTGCCAAGCTTATATTTTATATAGTGGGGGCTCTTGCTCTGAACACCGTTTATGCTTAAGGCAAAGAAAGACACTGGAATTTGCCATTCATTTATGTTGGCCCTTATATCACAATGTATTTTGTAAAAGGACTTGAGATACAATACATGTATTTCCAAAGACTTAATTATTGTTAAAGAGATTTGAGCATATGTGTGTACGATTTAAAACCAAAGCATGGGCAGTAACCTACACATTATTTTTAGGAAATATAAGTACATTATGGTTTTGAGCAAATCACAAAACCTTGTAACAAAACACTCAATTCAGTCAGCTGGTGATCATCTTTGAATCATTCAGGAATATGCATTAATATGTTTGTCACACTATACCAATATGTCCAGCACTATTAGGAAGTATGTATTTTACCTATAAGGGTGTTGACATCTTCACAATGCCAAGCTGTTGTGCACTGCGTTCATACAGCCAATGAGAGCCCTTGACAGAAAGACTGTAAACAATTTGTAATTGTATGCAGTGATTGGCTATATTCTCTTGCTGTATCAACTTCCGTAATTCAAGAAAGATGGCTATTGCAGTCAAGGTATTAGACACAGTTTATAATAGCCTGACATTGTAAGGATAGGGTGTTGATTGCATTCATAATTAGAATTTAAATATACTCAGGTAAATGATGGGATGAATGTCTGACTTATTATAATATTACCATGTACATCTCTATATATTTTTTATTATCTGTGTAAATACCACTCGAGTCCTACTGTATGTATTTGTGTACAATACATCATATAATTGTTAAAACTTTGTTATTTCTTTAGCGTTTTCAATTCAAGAAGCCAGTTTGGCTCATCAGGACAGTAGGGTCGTGTCAACATACTGACATCTCCCAAAAGAATGGGTTTTTAGGCAGTGGACAATGGTATTTTTGGGGCAGTAGAACACTAACCCTCACGAAACAAGTAATTTTAATCTACTATACAGTATCCTGTAGGCCAACCTTTAATGACATGCCGAAAGGAACAATTAAAAACGTTCAGAAATAAGTTGAAAAAAATGTCAAAAGATGAATCGTATATCCTAATATAGGAGTATTTTTTCGGTAGTGAAAAGTCGAAACTTTTATAATGAAAGCATTGCTTTTGCGTCCTTTTTATTGTGTCATACCTGTGTAGGGATATTCAACTTCCGCTTTTGGTACAGAACACAACTAAAATGGATTTTACCAGACGTTATGGAGTTACGTACCCTTATAATTACCTTTATGTTTTTGAACTATGTAAAAACTTTTCTGTGCAATTTGTGCTATGCAAAGATTTTGTACTTCATTTAAATATTACAGTTTGGAGGAATCATTCGCTAATAATACGACCCAAGTCAGCCGAATGTGAAGGTGTGATATTTCTTCAATTCCTTTCTGGGCTGTAGACAAACACTTAAATTGACACTTTTTTTCTGACATCCACACTCTGACGAAGCGAACGAGTATCAAATTAGAAGCTGTAGAGAAATGTGTTGCTTTTAGAATGTACTTTTTGAAAGCAAAATCGAATGGTGAAGGTAAGCAATTTTGAACTAGTACTTTCTGATATGTTTCTGACAAAGTTTCCTTGTAATTACGAATGTTTCAATTAGCGAAATGAACTGGAACGAAAAGTAATCTCTGTGTCATTAACACAGTAAGTAGGAAATATATTTTTTGATGTTTGATATACAATAATCTACTAACTGCGATAACCAGCAAATTAATTGACTTTTAGTACTAAAGTCACTATACTCACTAACTAGTGTTTGGATACTGATGTCAATTGTTTAAAAATATTTCATTATCTGGTTACTGAAATGTTGGAGAAAACAAAACACGCATACAAAAGTCATGCAAGGGCTTAACTGTTTTTAGATAAAAAACCAAACAAACTTCACTCATTAAAATTAAAGTGGGAGCTTTTAAATATACTTTAAGAAAACATTCTTGTATATTAATTTTGAAAATGTTAAATGCGTATAAAAAAAATATATTTCCGTCATAACCGCAAGGAACAAAATAGGCCTATGTTTTTTACCAATTGAAATTGATAAATCTGTAGATATAATTCATGATATTTTGAAGCTGAGGCACTAAGTACTCAGTGATAATTCATGTTTGTATGTTTTAATATTTAATATTGTAGCCAACGTCTATTAAGAATCAAAAATATTGTATGCAGTTGCTTTAATTCCTAAAACATCAATATATCATTAAGGATGCATAGGCCTATTAGGTCTTTTTTTTTCAGAATAATACAAAGATATAGGCTAGCTGATAATGATGAAATTGATTTTTTAAAATTATTCTATTCAGAAGCACCCAGACACACTTTCACTGATAAATAATTTTAATATCCATAGAAAAACTCAATATCCACCTATTTTAGGTGATCAGATTAGAATCAATTAGTTGGAGAAAATTAGTTTTTAACTCATTAAAACTCCCACTTATTACACCTAGAGTAGACGCTTGAATTATTGCCTTTTCACGAGATCATTCGTATGTCTTGGTTTTAAACTCACAGAGACCACAGTGTTAAAATTTCGTAGATAATACATCCAGATATGGTCCATTTTTGTGTGGCATGTTGAAACTCTAATGTTGCATGTGCTTTAGGATGTGGCCTGATGTCAAGATGACGTTAAGTCATTGAGTCAAAGATTATACTATGTAAAATCGCAATGAGATTAAGTCAGTTTTATGTAAATTTGCAATGAGACTAAGTCAAAGCCTATTAAAAGCCACGGTATTATGTAAATTTGCAATGAGATTAAGTCAGAGCCTTTATAATTATATATATAGCCAAAGTAGCCTATTATGTAAATTCGCGATGACATTAAATCAGAGCGTTAAAAAACAACCCTGAATGCGAAATGGAAATGCGATTCAAAAATCATTATACAGCATATTATTTTCATCAGTTTTATCTATAATTTTACATTGGCGATGGAATATATATTCATTGTCTAAAAATATGAAAATTATTGATAGATGAGAATATAGAATAGCCTATAATGAGAAAAGACGCATTTGGAAACATGTATATTGACGAACGTTGGTAGCTGATTAAAGGTACCATGGACCATATTTTTATGAACCCCCAATACAGTCACTGTCAATAGATTATAGCATAATTCCAGTTTTTAGTCAGACGTCTGTGGTTCCTGCAATTCCATTTTAATAAGACGTTTTATGACATCACTATTTCAAAGGCTCTCAGCTAGGCTATTATTAGCATATAAAATTGGGATGATGAATATTGATGCTATTAGTGTCCCCGATACACATACAAAGTTAAAATCTCCTTTTACAATATACTTTTCGTATCCAATATTGTTGATTAATTGATTCGACAACAATCGAGACATCCTTTGGATAACATTACGGGGATGCCGGAGGATGCCTTCTGATAAAGTATATTTTAGGGTTTCAAGATTATCTGTACATCCTGTCATTTCAAATAACTTCTGGCATTATCATAGTGCGCATTTAGATGATTGAAAAATTGTCAGTGAAAACTATCGTTTAATGGAAATTATTTTTTGTCGGATTAGAATCAAAGATAAAACCATCGTGCCCAAACCATACCCCCAATCGTCATACTTCCTCGACCATGTCAAAATCCGTATTCGTGATACGATGAGATAAAGCAGGATACACGCAAATTATATTTATAAAGATAGCTGGCCAGGCAAGGTAACATACGCCCACTGGCAGCTGACAGAAATGATAACTAATTCTTTAT